CTCCCCTAACGCGGGGGTCCCGGGGGTCCGTGCCCGCCCAGACTCGGAGCTGGCGCTGCTCTACAACGACGAGTCGGTGCTGGAGAATCATCACCTGGCCGTGGGCTTCAAGCTGCTGCAGGAGGAGAACTGCGACATCTTCCAGAACCTGTCCCGGCGGGAGCGGCAGGCGCTGCGCCAGATGGGCATCGACATGGGGAGCCCCCAAAACAGCCAAAATCCTGCCCAAAAAACACCCCAAAATCCTGCCCAAAAACCAGCCCAGGCGCTGCGCCAGATGGTCATCGACATGGTGAGTGAGGGCTGGAACACCCCAAAATCCTGACAAAGCACCCCAAAATCCTGCCCAAAAACCAGCCCGGGCGCTGCGCCAGATGGTCATCGACATGGTGAGGGCTGGAACACCCCAAAATCCTGATAAAACACCCCAAAATCCTGATAAAACACCCCAAAATCCTGGCAAAAAACACCCCAGGGGATGCACAGGATGGTCATCGACATGGTGAGGGCTAAAACACCCCAAAATCCTGCTAAAACACCCCAAAATCCTGCCAAAAAACACACCAGGGGCTGCGCCAGATGGTCATCGACATGGTGAGGGCTGGAACACCCCAAAATCCTGACAAAGCACCCCAAAATCCTGCCCAAAAACACCCCAGGGGATGCGCCAGATGGTCATCGACATGGTGAGCCCCCAAAACAGCCAAAATCCTGACAAAGCACCCCAAAATCCTGGCAAAAACCAGCCCAGGGGATGCACAGGATGGTCATCGACATGGTGAGCCCCCAAAACAGCCAAAATCCTGGCAAGAAACAGCCCAAAATCCTGCCCAAAAACCAGCCCAGGCGCTGCGCCAGATGGTCATCGACATGGTGAGGGCTGGAACACCCCAAAATCCTGATAAAACACCCCAAAATCCTGGCAAAAAACACACCAGGGGATGCACAGGATGGTCATTGACATGGTGAGGGCTAAAACACCCCAGAATTCTGCCCAAAACACCCCAAAATCCTGATAAAACACCCCAAAATCCTGGCAAAAAACACACCAGGGG